TCTCTTGATTTTCTCCCCTGGGATGGGAGATAGCTGGCTCCTGCCCCCACCTCTTCCTTGTCAGCAGCCCCAGGCTGCAAATGATCCCATCTTATATTCTACTCTGCTCCAGACATCACCTCCTGGTTTGCTTCCTCTAGCTCCGTATCTCTAAATAGGAAAGTTGGGTTGGAGCAATGCTCCCTTCCTACCCAGGAAGGTGACAGATGATGGACTGTACCTGCCTAATACCCCAGCGAAGTGAGGCACCTAGGCATCACCGAGTCAAAATTAATGAAAGGAATTGTGAGTTGGTAGAAAAATGTAAAAGCGTAGAGCTGTCCTAACAGACCCAGCAAGCCTGTCACCTGAGACAGTCCCTTCTCTGTGGGCCTGGTGTGCTTCTGAGGTTCCAGGGTTGGGGTTCTTCCCCTTTCTTTATCTCTTGGTCACCGCCAGGGAGGCAGGCCTGGAGAAAGTATGCAGTTAGATATTTCACATAATTGTCAAGCTGCCCTGAATAGGTAAGCTGGCCTCCTGCCTTCTCTTCCTGAGACTCGCTGATCAGAAGGCTGGGTTTGCGCATCCCCTGCCTGCAGATAGCTGAAACCGAAAATATTCTGAGCAATCCAAGTGTCTTTCAGTCCTCAGATAGGTGGAGCAGTGCCCGTGTTTAACCACACTGAGATTCAGGCGACTCTTTGGTGGTATTTGTCCCATTTTAAGTGGAAATGAGTTTGACTGCTAAGCCCTCCTCCTTTCTAAATGCAAAGCCTTGGATGCAGTCTCTGTCCTCATCATTAGAAGGTGATGGCACCAGAGTTTGACCTGGGGGGGGGGGTCCCTTCTAGTCCGCCACATTGGGGGCCACCAGGTTCTTGCGGTGCTGCTGCCTGTTACATTGGTGATCCCTCTCCCTTTCTGTCATGGTTAGTCGGTGACTCCCGAGGTGAGCCAGCCTCGCCAAACCCTGGATGCAGGCAGAGCACAAGGACACATTAAGACTGCTGCTGTTGTCACCGCACCCCAACCCCGCAGGTGTGATGGCCCCCAAGTACCTCAGAGCCATTGATAAATGTTCTCTGTTGCCTTGGATGGGAGTGCTTATTTGCCTCCTTTTCTTTATTTCTTTCCCTCCTGCTTATACCCATTTCTCTGTACGCAAGCAGGAAACCAGGGGGCTTCAGGCCTGAAGGCCACGGAGGCCTCAGAGCGCTTGACTCTCACGGACAGAAGGAGCTCAGTCTCCCGCAGGCTGAGAAGGAGTTAACTTCTAAGGAGAACTCCGGCTTCTCCCAGACTGGAGGCCTGTGCCCAGCCTGGCTGCTGCCAACTCTGGAGAGAAGTCCTGGGATCTGTAGTTTGTGCCACCACCCACCCCTGGCCTCCCTGTTTATCAACACCTCCACAGAGACTACAATTCCCAGAAACCTGCAGAGGCCAGGCTTTAGGGGAAGGGTGGGGTGCAAGGCTCAGGGATGGCAGGAGAGAGGGAGAGGGAGGAGATGAGGAGAGAAAACCCAATTCACCCCCTTCCTTTTAATTCTTTTTCCTGGTGTGTCTGCTCCACCACCCGAGCTAATCCCCCAAATCCGGTCTCCTAAGCTGCAGCTGCTCCCCTCGCAGTGATGAATGGCTCAGGGAGGGAAGGTGAATTCATATTTTAATTACTGAGGCGGGGTGCTGGGCCACAGGGTGGGGGTGGTGGGCTCTGCATTTTCTGGGAATGCCCCCCTCACTGGGTCACTTCCCTCTTGCCCCTTACCTGGGGTGGGAGGTTGGGGGTATGTTTTTTGGGGGGGAGGTGGGTAGGAGAGACACTTTCCCTCTTGCTGGCCAGGCAATTCCTGGCAAGTCCCAAACTTGTGACTATCTTCCTACCCTTCCACTCTCACTGCCGCCTACTTGGATGGAGGGCATTGCAGAAATCTGAGACACCAAGGAGTGTAAGGTCCCTGGCCTTACCCAAGTCTTGTCTTTCTATTTCCTCCATGTGTTCAAGCTACCTCCAGCCCGCTACCCCATCTTTGCCCCTGTGCTAGGGTCAGAGGCTCCGTAGAGTGTGTGTGGCAGAGAGAGGGGTAAGGTGAAGGCCAAGGGAAGGGATGCCAGGAGGATGGCTTGCTCTGGGGCCTGGCGTCTCTTCTCAGCTCCCACAAAGCTGGCTGGACCAAGGAGCATCTCTGACCCTGACTGTCTTGGGGAGAAGCCAGAGAGGAGGATGGGGGAAGGGCCAGGGCCAGGGCCTGCAGTAAGCTGAACCAACAGTGGGGTGAAGTAGGTTGGGGACAGGGGGTTTACTGGTGGCCACTCCATGCCTCTTGCCCTGCCAGTTATGGGTTTCTAGGCGCTTTCTTTCCATTGCTTCATCCCTCCTGGATCACAAGCATGGAGAGGAGAGTTCTGGAGGAGCAGAGATGAGTGGGGTCTGTTCTGGGGATCTCCAGCTGATGCTGCTGAAGCCCACTGCTAAGTATGAGGATAAAGACCAGGAAGAGAGCAGTCAGGGCTCCTGCTCAGCCCGCAGCCATGGCAAAGGGGCTTTTCAGGTGCCCACTGGTTGGGGCTCCAAGGGAGGAGGACAGAGCGCCCAAATCAGGCAGAGACACTGGTATGAGATGGATTTCTCTGGTCCATGTGTTCCCCACTTTGGAAACTAGCTCAGTGACCACACCACAGACAGAGCCCAGGCTGCCTCCAGAGCTTGGAGGAATAACCAGGACCCAGGAATCCTACTAGGGCAACTAAGCTTCAGCCCTAATGGGCTGTTCAAGCGTACCATGTAGATCTGGTTCCTACCCCAATCTTCTCTGCCGTGGTAGGCTGAGCAAAAAATCCCAAGGCCTCCAAAGGGAAGCAGTCACTGAAGAATATACATTTCATTGTTCTGAAGAAAGATTAGGCATGTGGTGAGGGGCAAAAGGACAAGGATCTTTGTATCCAGAGACCTCGAGCTGCCCCTCTACCTGAGTGGGGCTGGAATGGCCAAAGCTACTTGCAGGACTTCAGCTGTGAGTTCCTTTCCCGGATCAATTCTGTGATCCTGGAAATGTTTATATCCCCAGCACAGAAGTGTGTGCATTTCTTTTTTTTTTTTTGGTCTTTTTTCTTTTTATCGGTACTGGGGATCAAAATCATGACTGCCTGCTGGCAAGGCAGGAGCTTATGCTGCTGAGCTAAACCTCCAGCCCCAAGTGTGTACCTTACTGATACTGGCACCCAGGCACCCACGTGCTCTCCCTCCAGTTTTCCCGACCAGGTAAAGGGTCCTATGGCCTATCTAGCCCCTTAGGTTTGGGGTCTATGTGTTAAACCTTGATTCACCTTCTGGTATGCTGAATTGAGGACAGGAGGGGCAAGAGAGATCTAGCATTTCCCCCCACCCCCAGGAATGGAACCCAGGCTTCCTAAGTCTCAGTTTGGTTCCCTGTCTCTCTCTAGGTTTGCCATGGGAGGGACCCAGAGATAACTGCAGTAGACAGATCTAGAAATATAGTAGTTGTATCTTGGCTCTGACTATATATATTCTGGAGGTTGCTCTCTGCTCACTATATATACTCTATCAGAGTGGGTGTATAAATGGTACTGGAAAGCAAGTTATTAAATAACAGCCTACCTACCCATGCTGACTCAAGCTGGGCCTCCTGCCACCCAGCTGGCCACTGGAAATGCATTGCACCTATTAATTACAGCTATTAGATGTGTTACTGGGATGCTGAGAGTGGGAGAGGGGAGGGAGGCATGATCCTAATAGGACCCTGATAGGTCCATGGCAGGCGCTGCTCCTGCTAAGGGCCTCAGGCTTACCTGGAGAATATGAAGGAGATTCATCCAAGGGCCAGGCTTGGGGGACTGGCAAGAGGTGCCTCACCTGCGCCACCTCAGGCTCCTCAGAGATAGCGGAGGAAGCCACTTTGCAGGTGTGCCCTGCGTGTGGGGCATAGGACATCCCTGCAGCCTCTGCCCTAGCCTGGGCCTTCCTGTCCCTCAGCACTGGCTGTCACTTACCTTCTTGCTGCCCGTATTCTTCCCACCAGACCCAGGACACAGGGTACCCTCCTTCCTCAGCTCCTGGCTTCCCTGCCCGAGCTGACTCGAGGGCTCCTCTGCTGCAGACTCCGGCAGAGGTGACTTGGAGGAATGCGCAGGTGGACGAAGCTAGGGGAATACAAATGGAGAATGGAGTTCTGGCTTGAGAGCCAGCGTCCCATCCCCAGATACCAGAGCAGCCCTTGACTGACTCATGTTGAGGGTCAGATCATCCAGAAATGGGACGCTGCCCCCCTGGGTCAAATCTGGCCTCAGTCTCCACTCCAGACTGACCTTTTTTGGGTAGGGGAAAAAAAAATGATGTCTTTCCTTTTGTACCTACTTTCCAAGCCCTTTGCCTGGCAAAGCACTAAATAAAACAGCCTGATGGCTAAAAGAACTCTCTTTGCTGTGTGTTACTCTGAGCAGTCAAAAGATGTATACTGTTCCCTGTGGATTTCTGTAAGGTGTCAGACAGCTTGGCATGGATAAGGAAGGGCAGTGTGTGTGACTTGGTTCCTGCTATCAACATAGATACTGCGCTGGGTGAAGGACTTTTCCCAAAGTTCCACAAAGTCCCACCTCTGGATCGTCACATGAGACCTAAAGGAGTACATGGAAGCCCCACCTGGAACCCATGTAAGGTGGTACAAGTCAGAACCCAGGCAGCTTACTTCCTGTCCCCCACCACAGTGCGTGGACGAGATGAGGCAGAGGCTAAGGGATGTAGCAGGCGGCAGCTGGGCTTTCTCTTTGTTGACATCAGCTCCTGACAGCTTGGGAAATGGAGGTTCAGAGGTTCTTGTTGAGTGGCATGGCTCTCTGAGCTGGTGTGAGGTGGCAGGCAGAGCCCCGGAGTTTCTGGGAGTCCACAGAATTCCGGGAACATTAACCCCAGCTTGCTTTTCTCTTCCTGCCTTTCTCCCACCCTTCTTCCTCCCCTGCCTTTCCTTGTAGATCTCTGGTGAGCCCTGCCCAGCCTGGCCCAGGGCATGCCCCAGTTCACTTTTGTCTGCTTCTGTGGCCTCCACGGCTTCTGCAAGATGAAGAGGAAGAAGGAAGAAGTCCACAGAGAACGAGAAACAGCAGTGTGAGCAGAACCAGGGCCCCTTTGTTAGCCTGCAGCAGGTCACAGGCCTGAGGCTGTCATTCCTGCAAGGCTGGGGCAGGAGCCTCAAGCATTCTAAATCTTGTTTGAGCTGGTGCTCTGCTGGCCTACTCTTACCTGAGGGCACTGGCCTCCCGTGTGCCTCCCAGGCCTACTCACGCCCATGCGTCCTTTAGCTTCTGGTCCTCAGACCTCTCTGGTGAGGTCCCAGTCACACAAGAGGAATCCCAAGGCCTCTCAGTTGCCTTCCAGAGACAGAAGCCCTACGGAAGCCAAGACCTAAAGCTCTGCACCGGCCCTGAGGGCTTCGGGGCTCTGCTCAGGGACTTTTGCCTTATTCTGCCTTGTGTGAGGAAAGCTGTTTGCTAAACAGGAAACTGGCTGCTCTAGCAGAGACCCTGGAGGTGGCCTCAGGGCTTGAGGAGTGGGATAGCCAGTTCAAACCAAAGACGGAGCCTCTGCTTGGGTCCCAGGACCTGGAACAACCACAACCCTGGGAAATGAGTCTTTCTCAGCCCCTGCAGCATCTTATTGGGCCATGTGGGCCAGATCTGAGGTGAGGAGAGAGGCGGATGCTGAGTGGGGCATTCTGTCCACAGCCCTGGCCCTCACCCTGCTTCCATGATGTCTGAGCCTCTGGCAGCAGTACAAATGTGAGGGGTCTGTCCCCCACGTGCTGGACACCCTTCAGGAACTGTCTTCCAGGGACCAGACTGTGGGGCCCCTTTTCTGACTAAACTGTGTCCTCCTTCCCTTTATTTCCTAACTCTGCCTCACCTCACCTTCTCAGGAACCATCGAGGAGGGTGATGCTTGTATGTGGTACCTTCAGAGGAACTACTGGAGTAGGGGGATCTCTGGGACTTCAGACTTGGACTCATCTCCCCATTCCAACAGCCGTCCCGTTTCAGTCTTGACCCTCCCACTCCAAGCCCATTTCCAAGAGGTGGGAAGCAAAAGAACCCCACCTCCACCACCATTTCATCATTGAACCAGGACCCCTCAGGTGCCAGAAGAGAGCCTGGATAGAGACCTGTTAGACCGATTCTAATGCTTCTGCAAGCCAGCTGTCTTCTCTGCACAGAGACTGTCGGTACAGGGTCAGTCACACCCCTACTGGCATCCAGGGACAGAATTGCTTGTCTGACATAAACAGGTGGCCTGGTAAAAGAGGCAAGTGCCCCAAGAGAGGAGGGTCTGCTTTCCTATCCTGGGCCTCTCTGGGTGACTGGAGAAGGCACAGGCCTCTTTGCCACTCCTCAGAATCTGACAGTGTCACCTGCCCAACTTATGTCAGTGCTAGGAGTGTTTCCTGTCCTTTGGGCGGATTTGGTGGGGTCAAGGTTGCCTTGGTGAGGCTCAAGCACAGCTTAAGAGTTCTTTCTTCCATCTTCCAAGTCTGCCCCTGCCTCCCCTCAGCTCCAGCCTCCTCCAATCTGTTATTTCCATTTATATTCAAAGAATTATAAACAGAAGTCCTTCATTCAAGGGAACAGTAAGATTCAGCCATCCAACCCAGTGAGGTTGAAAGGGCCAGCAGAAATCCTCCCTGGTTCTTTGTCCTCATGGGCAATAGAGGCCTTGGGTGAGGCAAAGAGATGCACAAAAGCTTTAGAGAGCTGCCTTGACAGAGTTGCCAGAGAGCCCGCCTGGAGTGCATGTGTCCCTCGTGGTGGCCTGTGAGATGTCACCGCTGTGATGCAGGATGAAATTGTATCCCTGGAACGCAGAGGTGTTGGATGTTTTGTCCTAACCACAGAGCTGCCCTGGAGGAAAGGTCAAGAGAGTGGAGAACAGAGGCTCCTGGAGCTTCGAGAGGGTGACAGAGGACAGCTTTCTTTGTGTGCACCTCTGAGCCCTTGGCAGGGGTGGTAGTTGCAGGGTTTGGCAGGGAGCAGGCTCAGAGGACTGCTTTCCCCAGGAGAGCTCCCTCGGCCCTGGAAGGACGTTGGCTATCTCGGGTATCAGCATATGGGAACATGGCTAGGGTCCCAAGGTGAAGGCTTCCGAGTGCAGGGCTAAAGCTGGGGCCAGGGCTACAGCAAAAATGGCCGGTGGAGGAGGCAGCAGCAGCTACAAGCTCTGTGCTATTTCTCCCTTAGTTTCCTTCTCAGGGAGAGGGGGACTTTCCCCTTTCACCTTCTTAGTAAGCAGCCTGGAAACCCCTTCCCAAATCTGTGCCCTTGGATGGGCCTCGGCAGGTGAAAACCCAAAAGGGCCAAAGTGGCCCTAGGTCTGCCCAGAATAGGGCTGTGCCGGGGCCTCTGACTTCTAGCCCGGGTTCCTCTGCCTGCTGCTCCTTTCCAGGTGGGCCTGGCTTCATGTTCCTAGGTCTCACTTTTTCCCAGACATTTCATTGGGTAACTTTGCTTTTTTGTCCCTATCCCCCAAGGACTGGAGATTGAATCCAAGGCCTTCACACTGAGACACATCCCCAGCTCTTTGCTTTTACTTTTGTTTGAAATAGTGTTTCCTTAAGTCAGTAGGTTGCTAGGATGAATTCAAACTTGTGACCTTTCAGAGTGCTGAGATTACAGATTCAGTGTGTGACACCATTTCTATCTTAATTGTGCCCTTTTTTTTTTTGGACCGAGGATCGAACTCATGACCTCATGCTTGCCAGGCAGGCGCTTATGCCAATGAGCCAAATTCTCGGCCCTTAATTGTGCCCCTTTCATTTCAGATCTCCTGCTCAAGTAAAGGCCACCCCGTAGTCTTTTTCTGGAGACTGCTCTAGAGGTGGGGTGCACAGACAGATGATCCTGTGGTGGGAGTGGGGAAGTTGTGGTTTGTTTTTGTGGTATGGTACCGCCTCTTTCTTGCAGAAGGGTAGGAGGCCTAGCATCCCCATCTCTAAAGGGGGGACTTCTGTCCTGTGCCTATTTCCCTTCTTGGGCTGTGAGCAGTTAAATGCAGGACAAGGAAATGTAAATGGTGCTTGTGGTCCTTGTGACTTGAGTCTCATGAACCCCAAGGGACCTCTGTCTCAGGTTGCAGGCTTTTTATTAGAATGTCATTGCCTTCACCCCCAGGGAGGGGCCTTTTGAATGTAGTACATGGGTCCATGGCTATATACAGAGAGTTTGTTATTTTTGTAATATGAAAAATAATTAAACTAACTGAAATCTTCATGAGGCGGTACAGTGGGGCGCAGAGAGCCCTGAACGGGGGACTTAGGCTCCAGCCCTGCTTGGACGCTGCAGATCCTGTGACCTTGTTCTCCTCAGGGTCTGTTTTCAGACTCTTCGGCCATAAAAGATTGAACTTACATCCTGTGAGTCCCGCTGGAGTCCAGGGCTCTGTGGGTCTGGGAAGCAGAGCCTCAGGGCCATACAAGCAGAGCGATTACAGGCGTCCCGTGCCCAGCAGCTGCACTGTGTACAGGTGGCAAATCTGTGGATAGGGTGGGCAGAGGTGGCATGACAGAGCTGGGAAATGGAGGGGGAGTGACAGGGAAAGCAAGTCCCCTTGAGCTTTATGGGAATCCTGTAGCCAGGACCCGTATGTCCTCTCCTCTTGCCCATAGCCAGGCCCAGCAGAATAAGTCTAGTAGCCTGGACTCTGGCTCTAGACCCTGTCTAGGCCACCATAGGTGCTGCTTTTGTGCTCTTTCCTTCCCATTTCCCTCCCTCCCTTTTTTCTCTCTCCCTTTTCACCATCACCTCAGATGCTCAAGATTTAGACTGGATCTCAAGGGCCAGCACCCTGCCCAGTTATGTGACCCCTGGGCCTTTGCATAGCTGCCCACACATCCATCTCTGAGTGGATAGAAGTGTCCCTTGCCCTCTGCAAGGAAAGTGCCTCAGGCCAGAACTCACCTGTGCAGAGAATGAACTTGCATCCTTCCCAGTGGTTGGGGATGTGCCTATGGTAGGTCATCCCTGATGATCCTCTTTGCATGGAGAGCTCCAGGACCCCAGTGCTGCTGCGTGACTGACTCCTGTCTGTGGCAAATTGCATCTTCTCTCCCAGCCTCCTCCACAAAGGTGGCACTAAGTTCTGCTCCCTCCATACCACACAAGAAGGCACACATTACAAGAGCTCATTGTATCGGATGTGTCTAGGTATGATTTGGGCTTTTGGAGAAGTCATTGTGTTCACAATGCAGAAAGGCCTTCACCAATGCTGAGAATGTCTGGATTCTATGCAATGGGCTCATGATAGGCTGGTCTGGGAAGTCTGATGTTCATCTTGAAAGTAGCTGCTGTGCCAAGTAGGAAATTGGGCAGAAAAGAGCACAAGAACCAAGAACCGGGATCTTTTCTGATGGAATGCACGCTGTCCTTCCAGTACGCAAGCAAGAGACAGCTATTGTTATCGTCAGCCTGTTCCCAGTGCAAACACAGCTCCCAAGTCCATGTTGTGAAACAGTTTAGGACCAGGGCATCTGGCTTGCCTGAGCGACTCCTCCTGACTCCTTGGCCATCCCTGGAGTGGTCAGTGCCTGCCATGTTGGGGGTGTTGTGGCTGGTCAGTCCTGTCTGTGTCTCTTTTGCTAAATTTCCATTGGGCCAGAACCATGGAGTGAGAAAAGAAAACAGAAACCCTGTCTTTTCACAGAGGAGCCCAGGGGGCAGACCTCTGCCCATGGCATCCCCAGAGGAGCTCTGCTAAGTGGTATAAGGAATTCCAAAAGTCAGGAGCCCTCAGATCTGGGAAGCTTGGAATCTGGCAGAAACCCTTAGGCTCTAGAATTCAAGGGTTTTCTTGTGGGCTGCTGGTCTACTTTCCTCTGGGGCAGGCTTGCTTCTTCCCCCAGCTCATTCCTGTGTTCCATCTGAGGGGCAGGAGGAAGGCACAGGAGGGGGAGATGGCAGGACCCAGCCAGATCCTCAGGACTCTCCCAGCCTCTGTTGCCATGACAACACTGCTATTTTTATCCCCTTGTTCATGATGCTCAAAGCGCTTTCTCCGTTCCAGAGAGGCCAGACTGCCTTCTGCCCTCATCCCTCAACACAACACCTTCTCCCAGAAAAGGGAACCTTCTAAGTCATCCCTCAGTTATGGGAATCTGTTGGACAGGGCTTTGTCTCTGCACTTTTGACTCTTGGTTTGCTACCCAGTTTGAGCACCCAGTTTCATGTTTCTGGGAGATCAAAACTCCCTTGGTTGCCCTGGGAGGCACTATAGAGAAGCCACAAAGAGATGCCACAAGCTTGAGATGTCTCCCTAGCCAGCCATGACACTGGCGCTACTGTCCTGGGGAAACCAGACCTGGTTTTAAGGAATGTCCTGTTGGTATAAGCCAACTCCCACTTCTGGAAAAGGGCTAGAGAACTAAGTTTAGTAATTAGCAGCCAAATACACAGGACACTGGTGAATCTAAACCAAGACGTTCTTTTCTTCTGTCTCTTTACCAAAGAACTAGGACAATTGGCTTCATGTCTTTGTCCAGTCTTTCTACTCAAAGCAAGAGAGTATAAATGCTGCAGGCTAGAAAGCATATGCCCCTTAACCTAGACAGCTCTGTTCCCTCTAGGACTTTGAGGTCTCCCCCTTTCCCTTGCGGTGCTGGGATCAGACCCAGGGCCTTATGCATGGTAGCAAGAACTTTGCTGCTGAGCTGCAGCCCCAGTCTGGAGCCTGAGCTCTTGATGCCCTTGAAGGCAATGTTTAACAAAAGTTATCTTAGCGCTGTTATTTTGCTGTCTCTTTGCCCTGGCCTAACCATTGGTCCTCTTCCTATGTCCCCACCTTCTTTGCAGTGGCAGGGGATCCCTGAGAGTCAATGGTGCTAATGTTCCCCCACATAGATGCCCCTGTATAGGTCAGTGAGATTTGAACCTTGTACCTGGGTGGCTGGGTTGGGGAGTACATTACATGTACACCCTCAACACCATGACCTGAAGACAGGTGTATGTCTTAATCTAGAAGAGTAGCAATCTATACCTTGTTAAGCCCTGCATTGAGGTTTTTCCTCTGCCGAACTGAATTCTGGATGGTTAATGTTCCTGAGGGTGGCTGAGACCCATTTACTAAGCCTCTAATTGGTTTCGTTTTGGCTCAAGTTGCATGGTTTCTCAAATTTGTGCACCTGGAGTAAGCACTTTTCTGGCCACCACTGAAAAGCATGCCGACAAACACTGCTCTGTTAATTGCTGTAATAAACAGACTTTATTATATCCCTTTGCAGTAAATGAATTATGCTGTCAGGGTGGATGGGGCATCCGTGTTTATTTCACACTGGAATACATTGCAACACAAGCTAAACATTTGTTTCCAACAACTCTGCAGAGAAAAGGGAGAATGGAGCCTGGAAGGGGGAAGAGTTGGGGTCTAAACGTAAGTGAGGTGATGGGGCCTAGGGGAAGCTTTTGGGGGACACCTTGCACCCCTGCAACTCACAGCCTCATCTATGCTATCTATAAATTGAGGGAAGCCAAGCCTCCTGCCTACTCTCTCAGAAATGGGGTAAAGCTGGCAGAAGTGGATGCTGAGCGGGTATGGGGGAGATGGTTTAGGACCACAATATGAGCCTATGTTCTTACAGAGACAAATTTAAGATGGAGTAAAGACTTTGCTTAGGCCTGTCAATACCATTGATGAAACAAGGGAGGCTTATAAGGAGGGAAAGACGCCATAAGATCATGTGATATGAAGAAGGATTATAGCCAGGTTGGTGGTACACGCCTATAATCCTAGCACTCTGGAGTGGCAGGAAGATTGCAAATTCAAGCCTAGCCTAGGAAAATTAGCAATTTAATGAGACCATGTCTCAAAATTTTGAAAAATGGCTGGGATTGTAGCTCAGTGCAAAGGCCCTTGGTTCAATGCCAGGTACAGGAAAAAAGGAATAAAAAAAAAAAAGATGATTATTTCATATGGTATGTGAATTGTATACTAGCAAAGTTGTTTAAAAAAGAATTATTATATCATAACACCACTTAAACTGTGAGACAGAGACTCAACTTATCTCTGAAGCTGGGTCACATATCTTATGTTCTCTGGTGTACAGTTCATATACTGAATGGTATAATAATCCTTTTCTATCAACAGAATACCAGCAAAGAGCTTCAAGTATCAGGGCCTGGAAGACCATGACTCTCAGAGTGGAGAAGGATCGTGAAAGGCTCCTTAGAGGAGAGAGAATTTCAGCAGAGCCCTGAAGGATGGAGAGAAAAGTATGCTCAGGCCACATAGACCTAAGGACCCTTCTCTGTGCCATCACTTGCAGACTTCTGCCACAGCTGCACATACACACAGAGCTAGCAGTGACCTGGCCAGCAGTGCTGTGTGGAGCCTCTTGCGTCACAGGTGGGCCCCTTGCTCCCAAATCCCTCTCTTCTCCAGGAGTCTGATACCTGACATTTCCTTAGTGCTTCCTTGCTTGGATTTTAGGCTTTGCTCCCCAGGGTTTGTAATCTAGGCAGGAAGCAAGCACTGAACTGCTACCAGGCATTTGTCCCACAGCTTTGGTGACAGTGACATCAGAGGTCTTCTCGTGTGGGTTCTGTTTGGAAGGAGGAAAAGAACGAGAGTATCAGCAGGCCGCTGGCCAAGCAGCCAAGGGCATTGCTTAGTTCAGGAAGAGGGTGCAGAAGGAGCCTGGCTGGGAGCTCTGAGCGTGAAAGCCATGTTTGCCGCACATATGAATATGTGATTGCCCACCCTCCGGATCCCCTTTCTTTTTCTCTTCCTTTCTTTCTCTTTTCCTCTGACTTTTCCCTCTGTGCTTCTTCCAAAGAGATAGTTGATAAACTCAAAGACATGACGCACTCTCCCCACCTTTCACACCACGTTGCCCACAGCCGGAAGATGAAGGAGAGGGTACAGGCGGGCAGCCCAGAGGTGCTGTGCTGGGGCTCTGGCTCCGGTGACCGCATAGACACATCATCTTGCTTTTCTAGGCCTCTGTTTCTCTACTTGTAGAGTGGGTTGAACTCTGCCTCCTCCCTTCTGCTCATTTCGCTACCCTGGAAGAGAATAAGACTCAGGTTCTAATTCCGGTTCTCCACCACAGTGCCCACCTCTTCCTGCCATCTTTCCGTATGCTGAATGCAGACCACAGCAAGGCCATCTCGTTTTGGGGAGATCAGGTCAGGTGGTGTGTTCTCAAGTGACTACTTAGCCCTGTGCCTAGTCCAAAGTAGGAGTTCAATTCGAGTTAACCAGAGAGGTTAGTTGGAAGAAGAATTACAAATGTCCAGTACATATTTTGCATATTTTACAACCCATTGCTTCCAGCACAGTGCTGGGCACAGAAGAGTGATTCACTTAATACGAGTCAAAATTAATTGAATATGTCTTACTAAAGTAGCTCAATATGCCCTAGATAATGTCTCCAATGCAAGGTACCAGACAAGACATAGCGTAGAAATACATTTTCCCCGAAATGCAATGAGCTGGGGCTGTGTGCACCCCACCGCTCCAAACTGCGTGCTCAGTAGTTCAGTCACTTTCTTCTGCTGCAATTCGGGGAGCATCCTGCAGGCGGCGCTGTCCCATCATCTCAGCCGAGTTGGGGGCTGGGGTAGGGAGGGAGTGTAGGATAGGGGGAGTGTGAAGGAAAAACAACCCCACGCGTCACTCACATGTTTACATGGGAACTGTCAAAATAGTTATTTTTAAGTCGAGTTCCGTCTGCTGCGGGTTTAAAACCGAGTGGCGCGGGGGCGGGGGCGCCCCGCTGCGGAGGGGTTGGCGGCAGTGGAGCCGAGTGCGCACGCGCACAGGACCTCGCGGGCGGCGGGGCGCCGGGCCCAGTGGGGTGTGCATGTGCGGGGAACCCTGCTTCTTCCTTTGGTTGCACGGGCTCTGCTTGGCCCGAGGGAACCTCTTGTGCCATGCCAGAGGGAGCTCTGGACGACTTTGGGGATGTCCACGTGCTCTTTGTAAGGTCTCCAGAGGCCTCCGTACCTCCTGGCCACACAGTGGGGCCCACTTCCCAGTCTCAGAGGACAGCTCCACAGGCTTAAGCCCCAGATCTAATCTAGAGGACCAGTCACCCCTGTCCCCCAGCCAACAATACCGCCAGTCTTGGGCCGGGGATGGGATTGCGGGATGGGGGATGAGTGGATTGTTTGGGGGCGGGTCACCATGGGGCAGACCTGAAGCTAAAATCCCTCAGGTCTGCAAACAGCAGAGAGAATTACTTGTCCTCAATGATAGGGGAGGCACGAATTCATTTTTCTCTGCAAAGTGAGGGACCTGCCGTGTTGACACTCCGGATGCTTCTCTCTCTCTCCCCGTTGCTCGCTCAGGGGCAAAGGGATTTGGGACAGACGCTGGCTGGCCCCGCTGCCATCAATACGTGTCCCAGCCCTGTCCAATGTCTACTCTGTAATGAGTTGTGCTTCGGAATGTCACCTCTGTTAATGGGGAAGCGGCACCTGGGCACAGCCGGAAGCACCCTCTGTCTTCATTAGGCAGTCCGCCGCCTAGCTGCCGGCTGCCCTCGCTGGGTGACAGATGACAAGGAGGAGAGTGAGAGCCGCAGCCTCCTGCTGTCCAGGACTCATTCCCAGACAATGACCCCGAATGCCCGTCCCTCCCCTCAAAAAATACACCAAAATAGACAGCTGAGAAAAATGCCCTTCTAGGGCCAGGTGCAGCAAGGACAGATAATAAAAAGCTAAAAAGCAGGCTAAAGCAAGAGGAGCCATTCATGGAGACAGACACCTGTTCTAACCACTCAGATCTGCTGTTTAGATTGAATTTGGGGAGCTTTTCCTTCTCTCCACTGAAGCTACCTTCAGATGACACCTTTTATGTCTCTTCTAATAGATGTGCGCACCATGCAAAAGTCACCAAATGATGGTATAATGAATGTTCTCATTCCAGACTTCCTTTGAGCCTGGCCTGTAAATTGCCTCGCACCCAAATCCTGGTCCCTTTACACCTTAAGCCTTCTGAGGCTGAGTCCTCTGAGACCATGGGGCTTTGGGCTGAGCAGAGTCATAAAATGCTGAGACACTGACCTAACATAGAAGGTATCCTCTTCTGTCATGACAAGATCAGTCCTTGAAAATCCACCACTGATACCATATTTCTTCGCATGGCCCCATGCACCCACCCTTTCCCCAAGGCCATGGTTAGTAGTCACAGCATCTCCTTCTAGTCCCCCCTGCCCAAGCAAATGAAACTCGACTCAGAAGTGTTCTTGGGAGTGCTCTGGGCAACCAGAACTGGAGCTGAGTTGGTGGCAGTGGTGGATGGTCACTTGGATTGCCTGAGGCAATGGGTCAACCCAGCACCTGCTGAGTAGTTGGTTTCATGATGGGAGCTGGTGGCAGAAGTGGCTTTCTGTCCCAAGACCTCTCTTGAGAAGGCTGGGAGAGAACCCATATGGGAGTCAGGACTTTCCTCCACAACCCCTCCTCCCTGCCCCAGAAGGGCATCTTCATGTACTGAGATACTCAAGCCCAAAGTCTGAGTCATCTTTGTACCCCCACTGTTTATTGCAACTCCCTTCCATTATCTAATGCTGCTGGGTCTCTCCTAAATCTCTCTCACACTGAGTTCTCCCCATGTCCACTGTTGCTACCTTAGCCCAAACTTATCTGCTCTCCTGGCCTCTCCAGGCCCATCTGCTCTGGCCCACTCTGACTTCCTTGCTGTTCTAGGAGCACAGACAGGGTCCTCCCTGGCCACTCAGTGTAAGGCCTCTTGCTCCCCAGACTCCTCTATCACCTAATCCCTCTTGTACACTTGGAACTCTGGCTTACTCCATTTCCCTCTTTGCCTGCTGCCCCTCCTACCAAGGTGCTAAGAACCTCAGATGCTTTATTTATCTGGAATCCTCAGCACCAGAAACAGTGCTAGACTGCAGGACTCAGGAAATAATGAACAAATGAATGAGTGAGTGAGTGAATGAATGGTTTGCTGCCACCCAATGATCCCTGTGTACCCAGCCCTGCACCAGCCTTACCATCCTCTGCAGAGCAGCTAGAGGGATCTTTCTCAGACATAAATGTCATTCTGCCAGTCCCTGATCAAAGCCCTTTGGTGCAGGCTAAACGTTGGTGGTTGTTGAAGCAGAGTAAGGGGCCTGCCTGTACTTCATTATACTTTCTTTCTTTGCTTGTAATTTATACCTCTGAAAATGTTTGAATTAAGTTTGAAAATTGTGGAAGCAAAAACCTCTGTGAAACCTTCAATGGTCCCCACTGTGTCCGTGGCATGT